TTTATATAAGGGCAATAAGATATTCTCCATCTTATTCTCTATCCCCTTTTTAATGATTCCTAACATTCTGTTTGCTTTTTTGACTGCCGCTGCACACTGCGTGGACATCTTCAGAGAACTATACACGATGACTCCAAGATCTTTTTCCTGATTAGTTGTAGCTAAATTAACCCCATCATATTGTATGTATAGTTGGGGTTATTTCCCAATGTGCATTACTTTACATTTATCCACATTAAATTTCAGTTGCCGTTTTATTGCCCAATCACTTAGTTTTGTGAGATTTTTTTGAAGTTCTTCACAGTCTGCTTTGGTCTTAACTATCTTGAGCAGTTTAGTATCATCTGCAAACTTTGCCACCTCACTTTTTACCCCTTTCTCCAGATCATTTCTGAATAAGTTGAATAGGATTGGTCCTAGTACTGACCCTTGGGGAACACCACTAGTTACCGCCCTCCATTCTGAGAATTTACCATTTATTCCTACCTTTTGTTCCCTGTCTTTTAACCAGTTCTCAATCCATGAAAGGATCTTCCCTCTTATCCCATGACAACTTAATTTACATAAGAACCTTTGGTGAGGGACCTTGTCAAAGGCTTTCTGGAAACGTAAGTACACTATGTCCACTGGATCCCCCTTGTCCACATGTTTGTTGACCCCTTCAAAGAACTCTAATAGATTAGTAAGACATGATCTCCCTTTACAGAAACCATGTTGACTTTTACCCAACAACTGATGTTCTTCTATGTGTCTGACAATTTTATTCTTTATGATTGTTTCAACTAATTTGCCTGGTATTGACGTTAGACTTACCGATCTGTAATTGCCGGGATCACCTCTAGAGCCCTTTTTAAATATTGGCATTACATTAGCTATCTTCCAGTCATTGGGTACAGAAACTGATTTAAAAGACAGGTTACAAACCAAAGTTAGTAGTTCCGCAATTTCACATTTGAGTTCTTTCAGAACTCTTGGGTGAGTGCCATCTGGTCCCCGTGACTTGTTAGTGTTAAGTTTATCAATTAATTCCAAAACCTCCTCTAGTGACACCTCAATCTGTGACAATTCCTCAGATTTGTCACCTACAAAAGCCGGCTCAGGTTTGGGAATCTCCCTAACATCCTCAACCATGAAGACTAAAGCAAAGAATTCATTTAGTTTCTCCACAATGACTTTATCGTCTTTAAGTCCTCCTTTTGTATCTCGATTGTCCAGGGGCTCCACTGGTTGTTTAGCAGGCTTCCTGCTTCTGATGTACTTGAAAAACATTTTGTCATTACCTTTTGAGTTTTTGGCTAGCTGTTCTTCAAACTCCTTTTTGGCTTTTCTTATTACATTTTTACACTTAATTTGGCAGTGATTATGTTCCTTTCTATTTACCTCACTAGGATTTGACTTCCACTTTTTAAAAGATGCCTTTTTACCTCCCACTGCTTATTTTACATGGTTGTTAAGCCACAGTGGCTCTTTTTTAGTTCTTTTACTGTGTTTTTTAATTTGAGGTATACATTTAAGTTGGGCCTCTATTATGGTGTCTTTGAAAAGTTTCCATGCAACTTGCAGAGATTTCACTCTAATCACTCTACCTTTTAATTTCTGTTTAACTAACCCCCTCATTTTTGCATAGTTCCCCTTTCTGAAGTTAAATGCCACAGTATTGGGCTGTTGAGGTGTTCTTCCCACCACAGGAATGTTAAAAGTTATTATATTATGGTCACTATTTCCAAGCAGTCCTGTTATAGTTACCTCTTGGAGCAGATCCTGCGCTCCACTCAGGACTAAATCGAGAATTGCCTCTCCCCTTGTGGGTTCCTGTACCAGTTGCTCCAAGAAGCAGTCATTTAAAGTATCAAGAAATTTTATCTCTGCATTTCATCCTGAGGTGACATGTTCCCAGTCAATATGAGGATAATTGAAATCCCCCACTATTATTGAATTCTTTATTTTGATAGCCTCTCTAATCTCCCTTAGCATTTCATCGTCACTATCACTGTCCTGGTCAGGTGGTGAATAATAGATCCTAATGTTATATTCTTATTAGAGCATGAAATTACTATCCATAGAGATTCTACAGGTCTGCACTTTTTTTAAATAGTTGCACAGTATTCTGGACAGGTATCCCATGGTGCAATCTTCCACTGCCAGGCTCCATACACACGGAGATTTTTCTCGCAGCTCATTATGGGATGCCTTCCAGAACATACTGGAATTCTTGGATTTGGGGTCAAAGAAATCAAATCCCATGATTCCTCTCCTGGCATCCCATCATTCATCTGCATTTTGCAGGCCAGCACCATTTTTCAAACTGCTGCCAGGTAGCATGGAGAAAACACTGCCGAGTGTCATGATCCTGACCTGGCCTGAGCTGATTGTGATTAACACAAACAAGCTTCTCCACATGTTCTGGCAGTCATGAGGCCAGCTGGCTTTGGTTGGTTTGGGAGATAGCCATGGTGATGCCATGGCAATACAGGAAGAGTACAAAATCAAGCAGTTACTTCTGCAGGACTCTTTCTTGGAGCGTCTTCACTCAATGCAATGCTGCTTCTGGGTTCAGCAAACTAGCACAGGCTGGTGGGAAAGAACAGTGATGACCAGCAGTGAGGGCAGAACTTCAGGACAACAAAGGCCACTTCCCTAAAAATCTGTTGAGCTCACACTGAAACTGCAGTGATGGAATACCAAAATGAGTGCTCCCCTCAGCGTGGACAAGCATAAGGCCATCGCCATCTGAAAGCCACCTCCCCCAATTACTACTGGTCAGTAGCTAAACAGTTTGGTATTGGTAGATCAGCTGTCGGGCTGTTCTCGTGGAGGTGTGCACTGCTATTGATAGGGTGTTGTTGGGCTAGTTCATAAAGCTTGGCAATACATAGAAGGTATTTCATGGATTTACCTGAGTGCCTCTACAACTGGTCAAGGAAACGGGTAGGGATGCATTGTTCAGTATAGTGGATGGAAAATTAATGTACTGTAACCCAGGAAATTAATGAAATTTTTTGTATAAACATTTTATTATGAATAGATTATATTGGGGGAAACTGAATTTCATTGAAATTTCCCAGCCAAGTTTTTCATAATAAAAACCTTTATTGAGTCAATGTAACAGTGCTAACTTAAAACCAATGGAACTATGATGACAGAACACACAAAGTGCTGAGTCTTCAGATCTGAACCAATGGGCTCACAAGTGTGTAAGAGTGAAAATTGTTACCCTTATTCTGAGGTATGGAGTGTTGTGGGAAGGGACTATCTTGATGCAAAGGAAAGATAGGAAGAATAGTAAGTGGCCAATATGGCTGCATCAAGAGCTTTTTAATTACCTGAAAATCAAAAAGGAATCCTACAAAAAGTAGAAATATTGGCAAACTGCTAAGTACAAAACAATAGCACAAGCATGTAGGGACAAAGCATAAAATGAGTTACAGCTAGAAAGGGACATAAAAAGGCAGAAAGAAGAGGTTCTATAAAGACATTTATCTTGATTTTACTAAGGCTTTCGACACAGTCCCACATGACAATCTCATAAGCAACTTAGGGAAATGCTGTCTAGATGAAATTACTATAAAGTGGGTGCACAACTGGTTGAAAGACCACACTCAAAGAGTTATCAATAGTTCACTGTCTAACTGGGAGAACGTATCTAGCGAGGTCCTGCAGTGGGTCTGTCCTGGATCCGGTACTATTCAATATTTCTTGGATGAAAGAGTGGAGAGTATGCTTATAAAATTAGCAGATGACACCTAGGTGGAAGGGGTTGCAAGCATTGTGAAGGACATGGTTAGACTTCAAAATGGCCTTGATAAATTGGAGAATTGGTCTGAAATCAACAAGATTAAATTCAATCAAGATAAGTGTAAAATACTACACTTAGAAAGGAAACATCAAAAGCACAACTACAAAATGGAGAATAACTGGCTAGGTCAGTGGTTCTCAACCAGGGGTATGCGTATCCCTGGGTGTACGCAGAGATCATCCAGAAGACATATAAGCTCATCTAGGTATTCGCCTAGTTTTACAACAGGCTACATAAAAAGCACTAGTTAAGTCAGTACAAACTACAATTTCATACAATGACTTGTTTTATACTGCTCTATATACTATAAGCTGAAATGTAAGTACAATATTTATAGTCCAATCGTTTTATTTTATAATTATATGAGAAAAATGAGAAAGTAAGCAATTTTTCAGTAATAGTGTGCTGTGACTTCTGTTTTTATGTCTCATTTTGTAAGCAAGTTTTTAAGTGAGGTGAAACTTGGAATTCGCGAGACAAATCAGACTCCTGAAAGGTGTACAGTAGTCTGGAAAGGTTGAGAACCACTGGAGTAAGCAGTAAGACTGCTGAAAAAGCTCTGGGGTTATAGTGAATTATAAATTAAATATGAGTCAACAATGTGATATAGTTGTGAAAAAGATGACTATTCTGGGTCTTATTAACAGGAGTGCTGTATATAAGACACGGGAGGTAATTGTCCCACTCTACTCAGAACTGGTGAGGCCTCAGCTGGAGTAGTGTGTCCAGTTCTGGGTGCCACACTTTAGGAAAGATGTGGAGAGAACAAAAAAGGATAAAAGGTTTAGAAAGCCTGACTTGAGAAAAAGTTTAAAGAACTGGACATGTTTAGTCTTGAGAAAAGACAGCTGAAGGGGGGAGCTGATTTATCTTCAAATGTATTAAGGGCTGTTATAAAGAGAACAGTGATCACTTGTTCTCCATGTCCACTGCAGGCAGGACAAGTAGTAATGGTCTTAATCTGAAGCAAAGAGATTTAGGTTAGATATTAGGAAAAACTTTCTAACTATAATAGTAGTTAAATACTAGAATAGGTTACACAAAGAGTTTGTGAAATCCCCGTCATAGGAGACTTTTAATAACGAGTTAAACACACACCTGTGAATGATGATCTAGGTATACTTGGTCCTGCTCAGCACAGAGGGAGGGACTAGATTACTCTTCCAGGTCCCTTCCAGCCCTACATTTCTATGTTTCTACAATCTCTATGTATTTTGAAATACAGGTCTGTCGCATCTGAGGCACATTTAACATGTGCGATTTCAGCCTTACGTGGTCGGCAAAAACAAAAACAAAAACCCAACAAAGAGAAAAATAACAATTTAAATACAGTTTCTGTAGTGCAGGCGATTCCGCCCGCCATTACACTCAATGTAATTTTGACTATACACGATTTTCGCTTTAGACGCTGACTGCGGAACGTAACCCCAGCGTAAGATGAGACAGACCTGTATCTCTGTAGCCCAATTTTGACAATTTACCTCACAAAACATAAAGTAGCTAAAAGTGATCAAACTGAAAGGCAAAGTACTTTTTCTATTGCTTCCTCTCTTTCTCTCTCTGCCATTACAATAAACATACCTGCCATGCAATATGTTTGATTTTTAACCTCAGCACTGCTGCCATCTCAAGTGTGGGAGTGGCAGCAGTCACCAGGAGGAAATGGGATAGTGAAGTGACACAGTAAGCCTGATAAGAAGGCAGAACATTTGGTCAATGGTTGTGGGATTTGATACTTCAGGGAAATAAACCCTTTAGAGCCTAAAGTCTCCATTGCAGACGTAATCCTGAGCACACTACGAGGGGTGGGGGAGAAGCTGAGCAGTCAGTGAGAGGTTCTGCCCAGCCATCACCCAGAACTAAGTTGTCTAAACCAGCACCGCTTCCCGCAGCTCCCATTGGCCGGGAATGGCAAACCGCAGCCACTGGGAGCTGCAGGCGGCCGTGCCTGCGGATGGTCAATGTAAACAAACTGTCTCGCGGCCCACCAGCGGATTACCCTGACAGGCCGCAGGTTGCCCACTATTGGTCCACACAAACCTTAACCTGAAAAAAAGCTCATTTCAGAAATAAGCTATTTCATTTCCATAGTGGATTAATTAATGTGTGAAAAGACACCAGATAATTTAAAAAAAACTTGTGTATGGACACAAGGCAGTTTATCTTGAAATAACTTAATATTCTAAAATAAACCTTTCCCATGTAGACGAGGCCTTTTACACACACCTGTTCGGTCTTGCCAAACACAAGACAAATAAATCTTCTACTAAGGACTTGTCTATACAGTGTGTCAGTCCAAATCAGTTAGAGTGTAAATTCTAATGAGCACCAGCACACTGCATGTTAACTGGCCCATGTGGATCTGACTGGAGCACGCTAAAAGTTCCCTACTATGCATTAACATAGTCCCATTTCAAACAGTATTAAGTATATTAACACACACTAGGGAACTTTTAGTGCACGCCAGTAGAGTCTACACAGCCAGTTAGTGAGTGACATGCTAATACACATTAGAATTTATACCCCAACTGGTGTGGACTAACAAACTGTATAGACAAACCCTCACTGTTTACAGCACCCAGCAGAGCGGGGCCCAAAATACTAATGGGCCTCTCCAGATACTATATTAACAATGATTAACTCAGAGAGAACATAAGTGAGAGGCTCCATATCCCATTACTAGATTCACAGATTCCAAGGCCAGAAAGGATCACTGATCATCTAATCTACCTTCTCTATAAAACAGGCCATAGAACTTCCCCCAGAATAATTCCTGTTTGAACTAAGGCATATCTTCTAGAAAAACTTCCAATTTTAATTTTAAAATTGTCAATGATGGAGAATCCACCACAACCTTTGGTAAATTGTTCCAGCAGTTAATTACCATCACTGTTAAAAATGTATGCCTTATTTCCTGTCTGAATTTGTGTAGCTTCAGCTTCCAGCCATTGGATCTTGTTTTACCTTTGTCTGCTAGACTGAAGACCCCGTTGTGACAATGCCCCCCCCCCAAGGCTTTATGGAAATATGCTTATGAATGTATATATGACATAACTAGAATATGTTTTATGCTACATATGCCATGTAACATATCTCTGTAAAGGTTATGATCTATGGAATCTATTAATCCTATTTATGTGCATGTACCATTTTTGTATTTGAAGTTATGAATATTGGCTGTGTACTGGCTTGATTTTTAAGTAGCCTTTGTAAAGCATTTGGTCAGCTTCTTAAGAAAGGAATGTGCAAATTAAGTACCCAATCAAGAAGTACTTAAGGGTCAATGGATCTTGGGAGGCTCCAATCCACATAAGAAGTCTACATGAGGACGTTCAAGGTAGCAGGTAAGCAATGGCTGCTGCCTGTAAAAACTGAGTCATGCATGGACATGTGACTTGCCCATGTGACTCCAAAACTCCATCTTGGAGCTGGACTTTGCCTAGGAGAGAGGAGGGGGTCTCCACCCACAAGAGAAACGCTATTTAAGCTGGTGGGAGACTCCTCCATTTTGTCTTCAGTTGGCTAAAGAAATAGCCTCTCCACCCCCAAGGATACCTGAAAGAAACTGGAACAAAGGACAGTAATTACAGGGGGTGCGAGTGATTGCTGGACCCAGACTAGAAGGAGACTAGTCTGTAAAAGGAAGCTTACTGGAATTCCTCTAAGGGTGAGGTTTTTATCTGTACTCAGTTTTCTTACCGTATTAGACTCAGACTTGCGTGTTTTATTTTATTTTACTTGGTAACTCACTTTGTTCTGTCTGCTATTACTTGGAACCACTTAAATCCTACTTTCTGTATTTAAAAAAAATCACTTTTTACTTATTAATTAACCCAGAGTATGTATTAATACGGAGGGGGGGGGGGAACAGCGGTGCATATCTCTCTATCAGTGTTATAGAGGGCGAACAATTTATGAGTTTACCCTATATAAGAGTAAAATGGATTTATTTGGGGTTTGGACCCCATTGGGAGTTTGGCATCTGAGTGTTAAAGACAGGAACACTTCTTAAGTTGCTTTCAGTTAAGTCTGCAGCTTTGGGGCACGTACTTCAGACCCTAAGTCTGTGTTGGAGCAGACTTTATGGAAATGGCATGTCTGGCTCAACAAGACGGGGTGCTGGAGTCATAAGCTGGCAGGGAAAGCAGGGGCAGAAGTAGTTCTGGCACATCAGTTGGCAGTTCCCAAGGGGGTTTCTGTGATCCAACCCGTCACACCTGTTATCAAATATTTGTTCCCCATGTAGACTGTGATCATGTCACCCCTTAACCTTCTCTTGGATAAACTAAACAGATCGAGCTCCTTGAGACTATCATTATAAGGCCTGTTTTTAATCCTTTAATGATTCTCATGGCTCTTCTTAAATCCTCTCCAATTTATCAACAAATTATTTTCCTTTTCAAATGTCTAAAAATTAAACCTCGTTGTTGTATAGCCCACTAAGAACTCCAGGTGACTTATGTCTCTGCTGCCATTTTTACATGGTAGAAATTAGATGTAAAGCTCATCTAAAGCAATACTTCTACTTTTGTACAATCAAAACAAAGGAATTCTGATATATATTTCCATTTAGTTTTTACCAAGGTTGCTTTTGAGGTCTGTGGCATTCAAAGATTATTTTCTACATCATTTTAAGTAACTGAATCTTTCAGTTTACTTCAAGATAATGGAAAGCTAGCCTGAAATTCAATGATTTACTGCTCCATCACCTTTTCGAGCTCTTCCACACGTTGGTTCACATCAGGAAGCATCCATGTATCCTCACCTCGCAGCCGCTTGAGTTCTTTGCGTCTCTCGTCCTTCTCGTAATCAGCTTTGGCCTAATATGAAAAAGAGGGAAAAGAAACAAATGGATTCTGGAGGTGTGGATGGAAATGATGATGCTGAAGCTCTCAGGTTGCAATCTGTCTGGATTTGAACCAGGTGGTCCCACTTCTGAGAACAATTTCACTTAATTTTGAGGATAGCATTACAAAATATTGATTGATGATATACTAATGGTAAATGCAACTAAAGACTACCCTATACCTAGTACCATTTCCAATGTGCTATAGCTTTGCAGTTCTGCCAGCACTAATGCCAACCTATTTACACAAATAATAGAGCTACACTAACTTGTTTTCCCTCTGAAAATGTTTCTATTACCAACCTCCATTAATTTTCCCATGTGTTATAATGATTGATTTGACTTTCTGACTTTCTATTCTTACTTAGCTCATCTTTCAAAGGCCCCAGCGAGTAGTTTTGGGCAATTGCTCTTCTACTCCAAAGGATGGCTCACGTGGGAATTAGTTTAAAGAGATGGAGCTGCTGAGAGAGAATTCTCAATGGTGGGCCCTCAGCTTTGGAATTTACTTCCACCAGGTCCAAAACAGATCTGTTGAACTGTAGGACACACTGCAAAACTCCCCCTTTTTAGCCCAGGCTTTTGGGAAGCAGAGGGCTATTATTAATGGCTGGAGTGGGTTTTTCTCCTTCTTGGTTTTTGAAAGGTTGCTGGGTTTACTTTTGTTTTTTATTCTGGAGATTTTAACATATGGCAAAGGTACCTGTAACTTTGAAAAGATTTTTTTGAATTATATAAATTTAAATTAATAAATTAGTAGCTAATTAAATCATTGAGCCCTCTCCTACATTTGGCTCATTTTAAATAAAAGCAAAAGGTCCAATTCATTTTAGAAGTGCAAATGTTCCTTAAACATATTCAAGGTATAATTAAGATGAATCACAGATGCATCCGAAGAAGTGGGATGTAGCCCAAGAAAGCTTATGCTCAAATAAATTCGTTAGTCTCTAAGGTGCCACAAGTACTCCTGTTCTTTTTGCGGATACAGACTAACCCGGCTGCTACTCTGAAACCTTCCATTTTAAAAAGTTTCTAACCCTTGTGGTTGCAGATAAAAGCTTGAAAACGTGACCCAAATGCACCAAAAAGGTGCAAAAAACAGAAGGCAAACATTACCAAAAATTCATATTTTTAAAAAAACCCAGAAAGCCAATTTCATGATTTTTGAACACTTGGGGTTGGCAATACTGGAAATGACAAAAATAATTAGAAATTAACTAAGAAAGTTAAAGGAAATAGAACCAAAGTGTATGTCTGTGCCCAACTCAGTCACCAAAGCAGATAATCCACAGGAGAGAAATTTTGCACCCTTTATTTTCCTGAACAACTCTCTTCCACAACCCAGGAAGTGAATATCATAATTCTGCAGTAAACACTAAATCATTCTGGATATGTGGATGCCTCCAATCTTGAAATCTCTGGCACAAACTTTGATAATTATGAATTACAGTCCTCAAAAATTACAATTTTAAAACTTTCCTAGAATCAAAGTGGCAAACAGTTTGAGCACTGTCAAGACAGTATTTTAGGGCTTTAACAACTTCTTCTCAGAAGGCTTAGAACAAAATCAGGGCAAAACAGGAGCCATTCACAAGATTCAGAGAAACATGGGCGAGTTTCTATGGCCTATGTTATATATATGTCAGATTCATTGATCATTAAGGTTCTGTGGGTGAGAAATTTCATGCAAAAAATGTTATTAGTAAAATTACTATAATTTATTCTTATGTTACATTATTACAAACTTGCCTGTGCCTTTACTAAATTTTCAAAGATACAATTACTTTCATACACCTGATGTTTGAAGAATATAACTCATATACTTACATTTTTAGTTACTGATCTAATAAAATGAAACGTCAAGCTAAAGAAATTCCAAGGAAGTCTCTGCTTTCTGTCAACCAGTAACACTGGCTGCTGGTTACTTCTGGCAGCAGGCAGTACTGCACCCATGCTCCCAACCTACCAACCACAGTGATGAAGAACCATTATGCTACCTTGGCAAGTAGGGATGAGGAATCGCCCCCAAAGGTGGAAGAGGAGAAGCTCTGTACCCCCAACGCTGGGAGGATCACAGCCACCACCACCCCAAGAGGAAACATAGTGTAGTAGTGGTTAGTGACTCCCTTCTGAAGAGGACAGAGGCACCCATCTGTCAGCCTGACATGGCATCCCGGGAGGTATGCTGCCTGCCAGGGTTCTGTGTCCAAGACATTACAGAGGGACTGTCGAGGATCATCCAACCCTCTGACTACTACCCCATGCTACTCATCCATGTTGGCATTAATGATACTGTGAGGTATGACCCAGAGCAGATCAGAAATGACGACAGGGCTCTGGGAGTAAAGGTGAAAGAGTTGGGGGTGCAGCTGGTGTTCTCTTCAATCCTTCTGGTCAAAGGTAGGAGCTCAGGCAGAGACAGATGCATCCTGGAGGTGAATGCATGGCTGTGCAGATGGTATCACTAGGAGGAACTTCAACTTGCTTGACCATGGGATGCTGTTCCAGGAAGAAGGACTGCTGAAAAGAGATGGATGGATACAGACTGGCTAACCTAGTAAGGAGGGCTTTAAATTAGGTTCGACGGGGGTCACAAGATAAAAGCTCACAGTTAAGTCAAAATCATGGAGCCCTGGGAGAGAGGGTTGGAGTCTGGAGCTTGGGCCATTATAGCAGAGAGAAGGGAGAGACAAGAGGGAACACAGAGGGGATATCAAATCAGTATCTTAGATCAGTGGTTCTCAAAGCTGGTCCGCCGCTTCTTCAGGGAAAGCCCTTAGCGGGCCGGGCCAGTTTGTTTACCTGCCGCGTCCGCAGGTTCGGCAGATCACGTCTCCCATTGGCTGCGGTTCGCCGCTCCAGGCCAATGGGGGCTGCGGGAAGCGGTGCCGGCCGAGGGATGTGCTGGCCGCCCTTCCCACAGCCCCTAGTGGCCTGGAGCGGCGAACCGCGGCCAGTGGGAGCCGCAACCGGCCGAACCTGTGGACGCGGCAGGTAAACTAACCAGCCCGGCCCGTCAGGGACTTTCCCTGAACAAGCAGCGGACCAGCTTTGAGAACCACGGTCTTAGATGTCTGTATACTAATGCAAGAAGTATGAGCAATAAACAGGAAGAAATAGAAATACTAGTGAATAAACACAAATATGAGTTGGCATCACAGAAACTGGGTCGGATAACGCACATGACTGGAGTATTGGTATAGAAGGGTACAGGTTGCTCAGGAAGGACAGGCAGGGAAAAAAGGGAGGATGTGTTGCCTTGTATATCAAAGATGTATACAGTTGGACTGAGGTTGAGAAGGAAATAGGAGACAGAACTGTTGACAGTCTCTGGGTAAAGGGGTAAAAAACAAGGGTGATGTCATGGTAGGGGTCTGCTACAGACCATCTAACCAAAAAGAATAGGTGGATGAGGATTTTTTTTTTCAAAAACTAACAAAAATCATCATAACTATGTTGTCTTGACATGTGCAGTCCCCTAAGGCAAGGGGAAAAAAAAGTGGCTAAAATAGTTAGTCACATCCCTGAATTAGCATTAAGATGGACAATTATTAAGATAAGGCTCCTACCATTTCCTGTCCTTTTGGCTGTAATTTTTTAAAGAGAGAACATGGGTGAGATAATATGTTCTATTGGACCAACTTCTGTTGGTAGAAGAGATGATGAGCTTTTGAGATTTACAGAGCTCCACAGACCAGGACACACCAACTCAAAGTAGCACCAGACTCTGCCAGATCAACAGATGCAAAACCTGAAGACATATCTCCACTGCTATGATGATCAATACACCAATGGGACAAATAAGCTAGAGATCAACTTGCTGATTGCTTGCCTCTACAGTGGAGAAATACTGTCTTGCCTGATTCAGACTGTGTTAAAAAAAAAAAATGTGCTCACTGTCTACTCCATCTTCCTTTTGGTCAAAAATGGCACACTGCTACAGCAACAGATCACTTTCACGCCCTTTTGGCAGAATATCTGCATCCACCATTGGAGAATTAGGAATATTCCCTTCCCACTGAACCTCCACACACATCATGAGGAGTGGCCATCTGCTTTCAACTAAGGAGGACTTGTTATAAAGGTCTTTGCGGTCGATAATATTCCTTAACTGACCAAGTAATCAACACTGGAAGACATAAAACTGTCTCCCTTACTCTTCAAATAGCTAATCACAGCTCTTCTTAGGGGTGTGAGGTGAAAGAGAGAGATTCTGGTGTGACACTATGCCCCATATTCTTCAGAGATATTGTTATGATATGATTATGGCATAACTATGATATATTTTATGCAAGATAGGTCATGTGAGATATCATTGAAAAGGTTATGATTTACTGAATATGATTATCCTGCTTGTATGCATGTATCATATTTATATCTGAAGTTAGAAATATTGTCTATGCATCTATTACAGATGTGTTTACTCCTGGGGTATGCCCACGAGACAGAATGCAATCAGTCTAGGTGGCTGGCTGGGAAGGGCCATTAAGGAGAACAATAGGTCTTAGAACAGGGGTGGGAAAACTACAGCCCACGGGCCGATTCCAGCCTGCCAGCTGCTTTAATCCGGCCCTCGAGCTCGCGCTGGGGAGCGAGGGCTGGGGCTTGCCCTGCTCCAGCCAGGGAGCAGGGTCGGGGGCCGCTCCACACGGCTTCTGAAAGCAGCAACATGTCCCCGCTCCGGCTCCTATGCATAGGGACAGCCCAAGGGGCCCTGCTCCACACGCTGTGCCCACCCTAAGCACCACCCCCACAGCTCCCATTAGCCGGAAACCGTGGCCAATGGGAGCTGCAGGAGCAGCGCTTGTGGACAGAGCAGCACACAGCAGAGCCACCTGGCTGCGACGCCACGTAGAAGCTGGAGGGGGGACATGCCACTGCTTCCGGGAGCCTCTTGAGGTAAGCGCCGCCCCGAGCTGGCACCCCTGAGCCACCACCACCCCTTGCGCCCCTACCCCGTTCCCCCTCCTGCCC